AGGACTGAGAGTCAGGGCTCTCAGATCTGTGCAGCTCTCCACTGGGAGTCCAGCTATGCCCTCAGCTCTTGCCTCCCGGCTCTCAAGCGGGAGCAGAGGGCAGCCGCCTGAACTTCTTGGCTCCCTGAGCAGGGAGCCTGTGGGCAGCAGCCCAGCTAGAAGTGGGGAGCTGGGGGCTGCCGGGTTCTAACTGACCAGCTTTCTTGACAAGACAGCCAACAGCTGATATAAGTAACGCAGTGTCTACAAGACGCTGCGTCATCCTAACTACACCGACGTAAGCGCTACGCCTCTTACGGGGATGGAGTTATGATGTCAGCATGAAGTAGGGCACTTACATCTGCGGGACAAGGCTGTAGAGTGTACACTGACATAATTAGGTCAATGTAAGCTGCCTTACGTCGACCTAACTGTGTAGTGTAGACCAGGCCTATGCTACCACAAAAAGAGACATTTAGAGATGAAAGTCTGATCAGAATGCAAACTTCCTCCAAAGTTTGGGTGTGTCTGGATTTGTAGCTCCCAGTCAGCCCACTATAGAAACTCAGGTCACTAAAATCAGATCTGGATAGGGATTCAGATTCTCCCAAAATACCGAGAAAGACAGGTTCAACATGAATGGTTTCATTCAGCCCAGTGTCGAGATAACCCTGAGCTGGGAAGATTGGCTCCAGTTGCTGTTATTTTATTTAGTTGTAGTGCAGTAGTGCTTCGGAGCCCCCATTTTGGGCTAGGACCCAGGTGTGCTAGGTGCTGTACAAACAGGATTGCTGGTCCTTCTCTTAAAGCTGCAGTGTTGTGGCTCAGGCCCATTTATAGCAAGAAGACAGCAGCCTCTGGCTAGCTTACTTTACAGCCTTATCGACTCATTCTGACTTTCATTAGTAATAAATATATACAAAAATGAGAGTTTGCTCTGCAGCCCTCAGGAACCAAAAGCCTCACCCGCCATAGCACAGACAAACCTCTGCCCCTGTGTACACCCATGAAGCCCCACCGCAGTCCAAGAAACAGTAACCAGTCAGGTTACAAAGCTGTCTGGTTCACTGTGTTGCTCTGTTGTTTCTATTGTTGTACAGTCACTGCTGTCCACCCTGTCACCTCAGCCAATAAAACCCTGCAATGCAAATGAATTCAACTTGCGGGGAGGAAAGTGAAGCTGACTGTCAAATAAACCCTATAACCGCTAGATTTCAACGGCCTCACTACATTGTCCACACTGTTTTGCACCTACCAGCTACAGAGTCATCCATATTTGCACTGGAGACCAGATAGTAGCTGTTCTCCTGTCGCTGTACTGTTAGCCTGGCAGCCCTGCCCTGCAGTTTTTGCTTTACTCAAGTTTTATTTTTAGCAGTAGAAACAAAAGAAAAAAAATTCAGTATCCCAGACGAATTTCCCGCAGTAAGTTTACAAAGATTAGTTTAGGTCTATTTTCCAAATAGGGTAAGTCTTTTTCACCTTCTTGTTTCCAGCTAAAATATTAGCCCTCGCTAGACTGAAATGACCTCTTGTCATCAGGAAGAATGTCCTGTTTCCATATGAGGTGGCTGTATTAAATTGACAGGAAATGCACATACAATATGTTTTTGATACACTGACTGAATGAACAAACGTGTTGATAAATAAATCAGGCTGCCGTTTCAGCCCACTCCTTTTTATAAAGGAAATGACCCCGTAGAGTCGGTGCCCACTTCTTTCACCTCACTGCTATTTTTAGCAGCAGAGGCTATGAAAATTTCCATTGAAGATCTGCTCCTCTCATTTCCTGGGTAGAGAAAACAGGAAGTCCTTTAAGCTGAGCCTAAGTCGGTTTTGCATGAAACTAGAGCAATCTCACCTCCCACTGGCAGTTTGATTACACTGCAAAGCCTCAGAACCACAACAGAGCTAATAACCTTCAGCTATACAGTTGTTTCAGTGAACTTGCACAAGCGGTTATGGGCAGAAGCTGATATAAGATATGGCAGGTGGAAGTTTAGGCATGAGGAGATAGTAAAAATCCCCTTCGCTGTATAATAGTTTTTTCTAGCATACCTCTGCTTTTCAGTAGGCGCCTCCAACAATCAAATCCAGGTCAGGAACATGAAAGCATATCCTGACTGGAATTAGGAAGATGTGCTAAATTCTGAGGTGTACTGCTAGTGGGATTTCTGTGCACGGAGGGATAGAACCTACTTTCCCTCTAAATAGGTGTGTAGAAGCCCTGAATGCATTGAACTTAATACTGCTCTGCTGCATCGGTGTGGGGAGTCCAAATTCCGTCTGCAGAATAAAGCACAGATCACTGCACCCTACAGTTTTTTTCAAAAGGGACACTATTATAGTATGAAACACCAGCTGGTTTGTTACACTGGCACTGTGTCTTTTAAGCAGTCCTTGCCCTTAACAGATTCATTTTTATGGCATCTTAACATGTGGCACTGAATTTTTATTCTATTGTTAGGTTCATTCTCTGATTAATTAAACAGGGTTCAATGTATTTTGATCTCTTTCTAACCCTGCTTCAGAAAAGCATCTCCTTATTCAGATAGGGTACTGAAGCATGCGCATAAGTTCTTTCCTAAATTGGCATTTCTCTCTCTCTCTCTGTACAGTGGCTTGGGCAGAGGATACATATTGTTTTAAGTGAACTAGTTCCAACAAAAATTCAAATGGCAGTTCTAAGTTCCCATGCAAAAAGGTGTGCCCGTGATTGCAAGAGCAATTCGAGATGGGCCCATTCGGATCTGGAAATGGATCCAAATCTGAATTTTCACCAAAGATTTGGGGCAAGAAGAGAGTTTGGATCTGGTGTTCTGGACTAATCCATCTGTAATGCACCCCCAGTAATTGCATGCAAAAATTAGTAAGGTACTTACTATTGTGAGCATATAATCAATTTACACAAGCAGTTGAAGTAATTTTGATCATAGATCTGGGCTTCTAAAATTTTGAATATTTGGTTATTATGATTTTAACAAGAATTTACCAAGATCGATTGAGAGGCCCATATATTCATAATTATGCACCTTATTTGCAAATGCAATTGCCATGATTCCGAGAGGTTAAACTGAACCCACAAATAGCAAATTCTGGCAAAAATATGCACACATAATTGCTGTGCCAGATACAAATCAGGTAATGTCACCTCCAAATGAGATAGCTACCCATTATCTCCATTTAGCAGTGGAGATATGGCTAGGTTTTGCATCAGTTGTTCTGGCAGGGTCTGATGCCGCTTTGAGTTGGTATGTCCTGGTGTGTGGGGAATTTTCTTCTTCTGCTGAGCTTGGAGGGGTTGGGCGGCTGTCTGAAGGCCAGAAGAGGGGATTCAGGAAATCCTTCCCCCTCCCCACAACACACCTTTCAAATCTGTGGATCCTACATATGTCTATCACTACATGTGGTGTACCTTATCCGGTGCACTAAATGCCCCAATAACAACTATGTGGGAGTACGCTTCCCAGACCTGAAGAAAAGCTCTTTGTAAGCTTGAAAGCATGTCTCTCTCTCACCAGTAGAAGTTGGTCTGATAAAAGATATTACCTAATATCCTGGGATTGACATAACTACAACACTGCATACTACAGTAGAACCTCAGGGTTATGAACACCATAGTTATGAACTGACTGGTCAACCACGGACCTCATTTGGAACCGGAAAAAAAGCAGCAGCGACCAAAAAAAAAAAGGCAAATACAGTTCTGTGTTAAACGTAAACTACTAAAAAAAGGTGGGGGGGGATTTTTCTTCTACGTAGTAAAGTTTCAAAGCTGTATTAAGTCAATGTTCAGTTGTAAACTTTTGAAAGAACCACCATTTTGTTCACAGTTACAAATGTTTCAGAGTTATGAACAACCTCCATTCCCGAGATGTTCATAACTCTGAGGTTCTACTGTATATTGTAACACATAATGATGTTGTTTTGGGTTTTTGCATAGAAAAGCAAGGAAGGGAGTACACTAATGCATTCTGTTGGTCTTTATTATTAGTTACCAGCACACAATGTCAGGAGGTTAGAGTAATAATTGCATAAAGAGGCATGGAACATGGAAGTTTTATTTCTGTGCTGTAAAGAAAAATACACTATGCGACAAATATGTTAAGGGCAAGATTTTCAGAAAAATACTTTTGCACATGACTTACTTGCACAGAATTTTCAATGCAAGCACACAAGTTTGGCATGTGTAAAAATGCACTTCCCAAAATTTGGTGCTTCACTTTTCTAATTTTTCTTACTTCATCTTGGTAAGAATGTCAATATCCACTGACTCTTTGGGACTTCTTGTCTACGAAGCAGGAAAAGAATTATTTTATGCATATGCACATTTTGGTGATCCAGTTGGGAACTGAGTTATCTGAGTGTTTGGGTTTTTTGTTAATAAAAGATATGTTGTTATAAAATGTCAAGGGGATGTTTGAGACTTAATAGCAAAACCTGCTCAGATTGCTTTGGATTCCCATCACTTTCAGAACATGCTAAATGTCTTTCCCCTTTTTCATTTCACAGTTAATGAAATTATCAGGAAGGAGTTTTCTGGACTCCCTGCCAGAAATCAGACGTAGAAGAAGAGATTTGTGAGACAACTTTTACTGAATCCTTCCATAACTGACCTGTTTAGATCCTTCCACTGCCCCTTCAACCTTCTGCTTCCTTAATCGTTCATCTCAAGGCACCGATTCAATGCAAGGAACAATGTATTGGCATCAAGCTGACAGCCTTGACTAAGCAACTCGCCACCTCTCTCTGTAAACATCAAAAGGACACCCTTCCTTTAGTCCAAAAATTGTATTGTTCTCATATCACACGGTATGTGTCTTGCCTGCTGCAAAAATATATATATATATCATAATAATAAGGGAGAAGAAAGGCATCGCTCCAGAGCTCTGTTCTACAGCAAATGTGGTTATATATTAGCACTTAATTAGATGGGAACGGGAAATAAGGGGAGAGGGAGTGCTTGCATTTTATATAAGATGAACAACACTTTGCATTTAAATAGCAATACCTTTCCATCCAGATCTCAAAGCCCTTTACAAACACAGGTCACACATTATTATTCCCAATGTTATCAATGGGGGTAACTGAGGCACCCATCAGTTAAGGGACTTGCACGAGTCAGGCCACATCTACACTATGGGTTCTACATTGATGGAAGGTGTTTTTCCATCCCTGTAGGTAATCCACCTCTCCCAGGGGCAGCAACTAGGTCAATGGACAAATTCTTCCATCAACCTAGCTGCATCTATCCTGAGGGTTAGGTCAGCAAAGCTACAGTACACAGGGGTGTAGCCATGTTGAACTAATATTTAAGACTAGACCAGGTCTCAGTCTGATCTGGGAACAGAACCCAGGTTTCCTGACTCCTACTCCTGTGCTCAGCACACCACACTGTAGTTGCCACATGAATCCAGGACTTTCTTTGTTGTTTTTAATCAGAGTTGATGTGCCTTTGAAGGAGAGGGATGCTTAAAGAGAATTAAGTTAAAAGAGCAATTCAACGTTTCTAATGTACAGCCCAAGTTAAAATAACCCCTGATAAAATGAAGCGGATGCATCTATTGGAGTTACAAAATTCAAGCAGAATTATGCCTGTCAAAAGACTTTGTGATTGACCCAAATTACTGGTTAGCCAATACATTGACAGCTTTTAATTTTTTTATTCTAATAAAGTGCTGCTGTTTATTTTCATGTAGAACCTGCCTTCAATTCGTAACTGCTCTCATTTAGAAGCCACAACATTTAACCATACAAGCTGCAGGGGAAAGTAATTACATCTAAAAGAAGCCACACATTTATTTGTCTTTTTTTCTTTTGCTTTGAAAAGCCAGCAGCAATTTACAGAAAGGCTGAACTTCCTTGTTAGTCTAATAAGTTAGCTATGTATGACTTCTAGTGCTAACACATAGTTTGAATATACTGTGCTCATGAAAGTTAATCACAATAAGAAACAGAATATGGATAATATTTGCCATTTGCAGATGCACAGCTAGTAAGCTTGTCAAGTTTCACGCTTTCCATTTTCAGTGTGTTATTGCTTCCCTGCCATGATAAAAAGATATAATACTTGGATAAAGAAATACAGTAAGGGCTAACCATAATATTGCAGCAAATGTAATAATGTACAAATGTAATAATCTTTTGTTAAATTAATGAAATCAATATCCTTAAAAGTGCTTGTAGGAAATTTGCAGTGCTAAAGATCCCTCTAGAAGGCACACTAGCTAAAGACTCAAGGGTTTCAAAGCAAGGATTGCCAGTACCCATTTGTCTACATGGTGACACATGAATTAGGTTGTATGAAAATATTAGATCAGAACTTCTGTAGAATGTTTGCCCAATGCTGCAAGAAAGATAAGTGCATAGACCCCATGGAATAAGTACTGGGTTTGGCACAGCCATTCTTCATGAATTTTGTGAAAATATATATTTTCTGCTACTAAATTCTACCACTTAAGATATGCAAAGGCTTATATCCTGGAGAGATTTAATGGATAGCATTTCACTAACTCTCTCCAGGATATAAGCCTTTGCATAGCTTCAGAATGCCTGATTGAGAAATGGACCTCAACCAAAATCTTGGATCTTAAACAACCCAGGATCTTTGGAGTATCTGAAATCAGAATTTTGCAAATGGGAAAAACCAAAAGCCTGGATTCAAACCTTCTTAGGTCATTTAAAGTCTGAGTTTATATCCTGAACAGAATTTTGTGGCTTACTGGAGCCCCTTTCTATTCTTAATCAAAAAGTTGATTAGATATGTGGCCTGCTCATGAAGTTTGCTTCTTCTTTTTTTCAGATGGGTCAAACATATACTGCTCATACATGCAGACAGTGTTAGTGTAACACACAGACCAAGCAGGAGCATTTCTTCCAGTTGGAAGGTATTCTGCTTTGTACGATTAGAATCTTTTTCAGAAGGTCATTTTCCCATATGCCATTTCAGCAATACTAAATGTGACTATCATACAATACTGCCAGCAGTGGATGTTTCAGTCTGCCATTCATATAGCCAGCTACACATGCTCCATCTGTAAATAATACAACAAAAGGTTCAAGTCCTGGTCCTGTACCCATTGAAGTCAATAGACTTTTTGCCATTGGCTTCCATGGGAGCAAGCCTGGGGCTTTGAATATGATGAATTAAAAATGACCTAGATGTAGTGGAATTATTGTATATTATTCAACAACTCTAGGTGCTATGTTTTAATATGTTTAATTTCCTCAGAGACTTGCTTTAATAATGCAGTGTACCATGAGATATTTAAGATCTCTGGTTCTTTTTAAGGCAGATAAAGTTCCAGGCAAAACATCCGATTGTTTTGAATTGTCTTGGTTCTCAAGGAGCAAAGTCATCTTGCACAAGTTGTTTACTTCAGCTGACTTCACTTGAGCAAGTGTGTAGTGAGTTTTCCAGTTTTACACAATTTTGGCATAAAGTCATTAAAAGCTACCATAAAAATTACTTGGCAGATTTGTTTTCCCGTATGGACTCTCTTCTTGTTGGATTTTAATAAGCAGCACAAAGAAATATGTGAACTAATTATTTTGTTTACACAATACATTGGCTAGATGGCATGTTCTAAAAACACTGCAACTCATTAAATGATAGTTTAAAAATAAAACCCCAAAAAGGGACAGGTTTTCAACAGCATTATACACACAAATGCATGCCTGACTTGGACAAGTATATGGGGTAATTGCACACACAAATCCACTAGAAACCTTGGTCATCTCAACATGCAATTACCCAAATGAAATGTGAAATCATAGTACATGTGTTCCCATTAAGTGTGCCTACCTGTTCTGGCACTGCCCCTAAATTATCAGTTGAGCATCCTGCATCATTTCCCCATTTTACATATTAGGCTTTTCTTACCATGATACATCAATGTATAAACCAAACAGGAACTAAGGTTTTGATCCTTACAATGTGACACGCACGTGGAGTTCCACTGAAGTCACATTGCAGGATTTGCCTGTTAAACATGCTCTCTCTCCTATTTGGTGGAAGACTTGTTTTGTTTTTATTTTTAAATCCATTGATCTTACATTTTCCTTCGAGAGCTAGGCTGCGTAGGGTGGGATAGTAATTTTTATGTGCTGCAAGGGTTCTAGTGCCGCTTGCATTAAACTGGATGCTTTTCTTCCTAAGTTTAACACATAGCTAATTAGATGTATTTGTGTATGAGCATATACACACATATGTTATATACTTGGGTTGCAATCCTGCGACTGGCACCAAAGGGACAGAACACTGCACCCGCATGATGTCAGCTAAAGGATCAAGGCTCTTCATACATGCATATAATATAGACTACATTTTAGTGGTTTTATTTACAGCTACATGGAGTCTGCCTATACTACTGTATCTGCTTGTCATCATTTTACATGCAAAACATTCGATAAATAATATAGTCTTAACTAACTTCATATTTATTTCTGGAGAGAGGGAGGAGGATCCTAAGACACAGCGTTATGCAGTTTTGTCTCTTAAAAATGTTATAGCTATGCTGAATAGCTTCAAAATATATAGTACTAAATTATTTCTTTTTTTTTTTGCTAAGCAGTGTTTTTCCAGTATTAATATTGTTACATAAATAAAAATTGCTCTCTTGCTCTCGCTGTAGAAACATTAGGTTCAACTTTGAAGAGTTAATAGCATTTGTGAGTAATTTGTTCTCACTTTATCTGGAAAATAGCCATATTTGCACATGAGGAAATTCTGTCTTTCCTCAGTTATCTGAATGTTTCACCACAGTGCCTTCCTGCTATTGTACCAAAGGCCCGCCAAATATAATGTCTGCAGGGTGAACAACTCTAATGTGTTTTCCATCAATGTTATACCATGCTAAGTACATGGGGCTCATTGTAACTCAAAGTGCGTCTAGCTGTCTTTTTTCCCCCACACACTTTTCCGTCATAGCTTTGGCTGCAAATTACAGGATGCGCTTCTATAAACTGTTGCATCAATTATATAAATATATAAAATAAAATAATCATTCTTGATACATAAACAGTCCGAGAGTGTAATGGGAGTTGACAGCTATAAGGAAGATTTTATGTCAGTTACAAATGTTGTAAGTAAAGTTTGCCAGGGGAGTAATTGCTTGTGAAGAGATTTGCAATGAAATATGCAGCCCAGTTTTGTTTTTCTCCATGAGAATGAGCAAAATGTAAGATCTGAACAGCAGCAGTGGATTGAAAGTGTCTATTGTATGTGTTTTTATTGGTAGAAAGAATGTAGAAGAGCCATGTTTTTTGCACTTGCTTTATTTGTATCCATGTAAATATGTATTACTTCATTCTTCTTGTAGGAGTACACCATTTTCTGAATGTAGTATATTTCCAAAGACATAACTATGTTATTCTCTATTGTATAAAAATGCTGCTGCTTGATAATATATCCAAAACAGTTCTCAAAATTAGCTAGCATGTTTTTAATATATTTTGTAATCAATATCTTAAAAAATAAAAGTGTCTATGCTTTTTATCTGCCCCAAATATGCAACATCTTTTGCATTAGAAATGGTATTTATAAAGGATTGTTTTGCATTTTTTCCAAGTGGATTAATTTCTCTATGCATTTGTTATTGAACTTTTCCCCCATAAGATAAATGATTTCAAGTTGGTATTTGATAAGTGTTCCAAAGACTCCAAACATGTTTTTGAACACACTATTTTTCAAAATACTTCAATGTGACTTGTTTTCCAATGAATCAGTTTCCAAATTGCTACTTATCACAGAACAATTGTTTCTTACATGGATTCAAGAAAATGTCTGTCTAAATTTAAGATATAAAACTGGGTCAAACCTGGTGGTGTTTGACCCATTTTAAATTATCTGATGGCCCAATTTAGTATCTACATTGAATGTTTGTTATTTATACTGTTTGTGCTTATGGAATTGGGAGAAGTGCCTAAATTGGATTTAGAAAAAGTGAACCACAGATTCCCCAAAACTCAGTTACTTACTGTTTCCTATGGAATTTGTGATGTGTTTTTCGTATTGTCCATGATTTCACACTTAATTCTAAAGCATTTAGCTTGATATGAAAAGGGATAGACACCAATGTACCAATTAGCTCTTAATACAATATGAACTATCCACCCCTTTGAACATTTCACATGAAGTTAGTATACCTTTCTCTTACATCTGTGCTACTGTGTAACCCCAGTGAATGACAGTTGCTAACAATTTGCTTAACCAGCATCAATCACCTTATTATAGTCTATGTAAGATTTATCTATTTTTAATTGTTCCTTGTGTGTAATCCAAAGAAATAAACTGGTACCTGACTAATGTTGCAATAAAGTTTCAAATGCAGGTGCTGGTAGCTGCATATGATCATATAGGCTGCCAATGAGAGGCAATTAGGGGAAAAGTTTATATTTCGAGTTTCCTTCGCTAACTCCCCTGAAACTGCTACAAAAAAGCTGGAAGATTCCAGCAATAATGACCTATGCAGATGCTACATGGATACACTGAGTTTCCAAACAATCCATCTATCTGTTATAGAGTAGATGGGTTATTTTCAAATAGTACTAAGGCCTAGACTGCAATGCTCATACTCATGCTAAGCAGTACCTTACTACATGAGTAGTCCAATGGGTGTCGGCAGGTTGTAGACTATGGGTGAAGTCAGGTGCTATTCAGTGTCAGTAAGGGTGGCATAATTGGGCAATAAGTAAGTAAATCAATTAAAAAATAACTATTTCTGGTGATCCCTGTATTCCCAGGCTCGCTGCTCAAGTCACAGTCTCCATGTTCAGCTAACACTCTGCGTTAAATGCAGATACTCACCTGAAGTGAGCAAATGACTTTCAAACAGACATTTTACTACTAACTTGCTTGTGCAAAAGTCTATGCTTAACAAGTGAAGAGGGGTTTATATAACACACATTCCTATGCAAAACATTGTTAACCTCCAATTCAATGATTTTTCCTATCTGTAAAATATTTTTATATAGCTTGTACTATGATAGTTTAGCAATAAATCAAAGGATAACATCTGCAGCATGTGTGTTTGTGTGTTCTTAAATACCTGTATCACCTTATTTACAGTAATTAGGGTTGATCTTGTAACATTCACTCTCCTGAATAATCCCAATGAGACTGCTTTAGTGGGATTCTTCGGTGACGCTAGTATGAGTAAAAATTTCCGTATCGGCATCATTGTTTGCAAACTAGATAACTCCCTGTGAATCAAAGTCTTCTCTGGTTTCTGTAGAAATTCAGATTGAATTACATAGTGAAAAGAAATGATAAAGTCCATCCTTAGCTCTCAACAGTCATTTTCTGTTTTCCTAGTAAGAGAACCAAACAGGCCAAATTAACAGATGCTCTGTAGAGGGTTACGGAAAGGTACAAATTTAATTTCCATTTGAGCAAAGTATTCATATACACAGTTTACAGTTATTGGAGATGTGGTCCGTTTAATTTGTGTTCATCTAAATCCCAAATCTGCAGTTCTTTTCTGGACACACTAAAAGGTACATTTTCAGACTGCTGTGCTGGAAAGGTGCCCAGAAAGCCCATTATTTCTTAGTAACATTTAAGTTTATGTAGCATACGATTAAAGACATTTTCCTTAACAAAATCAATATTATCCTTTGCATTTAAAAACAGAAAATTCAAAGCATATTTGATGCATTTGTTGGACATAGAAGCAAATGCTTTGCTTATTCACAAAAGCCTCGGAGCAAGAACCATGTGGAAGTTCTTAACTCCTACTACACTGCACAAAGGCTGGGAAGCCCATAAACCAGACAAGCTTAGCCAACAAAGAAGCTGTTACTGGCTAGGGAGAACATTTTATGACTAGCAAATACATGGCACACAGAATTTTAGCTGTATTCAGCCACAGGACAATGCAAGTAACTTAACCTCGAAATTCCACAGTTAAGGCTGAAAACTTGAGCACCTGAGCTGATGCTCTGGCTTTAATTCATTTCTTGGGCCCAAAACAGAACCCTACAACAGTGCCCCAAATTTTCTTAACTGTGAATGTCCTGGCTTTTGTAGGTTTAAATCCGATCATTTATGCCCCTGCAACATTATATTTTTAACTACATTTCTTTTGGTAGCAAAATAAGGAAGTAGCAAGGTAGTAAGGAAGAAAGATTCATGTTTCTAATGAACATCTGGGTCTAGTATGATAACTTGCAAGCTCTCATGCTTCACTGTGTAAATAAGTGATCTACAAGATTTTGACAACAAATTTAATTTACTGCATTTAAGAAGCCCTTTTTCAGTCTCATACCAGGCTCTTTTTATAAATACATCATGATAAATGCCTTGTTCTGTAATAAATGCCCTTTCAGCAGCATTGCATTCACTGTACAAAGTTTAAACTGTTTGCCATTAAGGCCCCTGGTAAATGTGCAGCAAAATACATCGTACATCCAATTAGTTATCATGGTCCCCACGACAGCTTTGATAGCATGAAGATGGGGGCAAGAGAGGCTAGCTTCTAGGTCCCAATGCATGGATGAAAAGAGAATGGCATTACATTTATTAGCAACCAAGGAACTTTTTAAAAAAGGGAAAGCCTATGGCCTCCGCCATAACTGTTAAGACTGCTGGCACAGAAAATTGCTGAGGGTTTTTTGTTTTTGTTTTTGTTTTTTGGGGGGGGAGGGAGGGGACATTGGGCAGGGGGGCGGCTTGGAAGCCCAGGGAAAAGCTAGCAGGTGCTGAGCTACACTCAAATTGCACAGACACATCTGTTAGGGTGACAGCACTACAAAAAGCAACTCCTTATCCAGCAAAGTGTAGGACAGAAATTACAGCTGAAAAGGAGCTGAAGATCACAAAAATAAAATTGTCAGGCAAAGGACTGAAGGCACATGGCATAAAATAAAAACTATTAGGGCCAGATCCTCAGCTGGCCTATCTCCATTAACATCACTGGAGCTACAGTGATTTATACCAACTGAGGGTCTATCCCACAAGAAGTCAAAACAGTAAAATAGGTGAACTGGAATATCAGGCTGTGGCAGAGGATCTTTAATAATAGGCTTTACTGAAACATGGTGGAACGACAAATGTTGATATTTACCAAGATATGAAGGCACAACAACTAGTTGGGGAAGTAGTCCTGAACCTACAAGGTTCCATAGAACCTAAAGAGATACAGATGGTGAGTGCAGAGGACCCAGGCAGTAGAATCTGTATGGATACAAATCTCAAGTAATAAAAATACAAGTCTACTACTTGCCTTCTGATAAGGGAAAGGATACTGAGACACAGTGTTGACAGGGACCAAAGAGGCAATTAAATCTAATAAGAAAATAGTAGTTAGTGACTTCAGCTGTCCTCCAGTTTCTGGTCAAGAACGATTTAGAGAGGCAATTTGTTTATGACTTCTGGAAACAGCTGGTGCTAGAGAATACAAGAGTAAAAAGGCTGCTCTGGATTTTGTGCTAAATAATGCATGAGTAGGGCCCTACCAAATTAAGGGTCCATTTTGGTCAATTTCACCGACATAGGATCTTAAAAATTGTAAATTTCATTATTTCAGCTATTTAAATCTGAAATTTCATGCTATTGTAATTGTAGGGGTCCTGACCTGAAAAGAAGTTGTGTGTGTGGGGTGGGGGGGTTGCAAGGTTATTGTAGGGGGGTTGCGGTACTGCTAACCTTACTTCTGCGCTGCTGCTGGCGGCGGCGCTGCCTTCAGAGCTGGGCAGCAGGAGAGCAGCAGCTGCTGGCCGGGACCCTAGCTCTGAAGGCAGAGCCGCCGCCAGCAGCAGTAAGGATGGCACAGTATGATATTGCCACCCTTACTTCTGCACTACTGCCTCTAGAGCTGGTCCCTCAGTCAGCAGCCGCCACTCTCCGGTCGCCCAGCTCTGAAGGCAGCAGCGCAAAAGTAAGAGTGGCATGGTATGGTATTGCCACCCTTACTTCTGCGCTGCTGCTGGCGGGGCACTGCCTTCAGAGCTGAGTGCCTGGTCAACAGCCGCTGTTCTCCGGCCACCCAGCTCTGAAGGCAGTGCAGAAGTAAGAGTGGCAATACCATGACCACCCTAAAATAACCTTGTGACCCCCCCTGCAACTCCCTTTTGGGTCAGGACCCCCCAATTTGAGAAACGCTGGTCTCCCCTGTGAAATCTGTATAGTATAGGGTAAAAGCTCACAAAAGACCAGATTTCACAGGGGTAGACCAGATATCATGGTCTGTGATGCGTTTTTCATGGCCGTGAATTTGGTAGGGCCCTACTCATGAGAGTTGGTTCAAGAAGCAATAGTGACCAAGTATAGTTATAGTCATTGTAATAGAATCATCATAATCAGGAGAGATACCATACCGAAAACCTAGTATTCACACACTAAGCATTAGGAAGGGGATATTAAATAAAAAGGAAAAGGAAACTGGTCAAAGAGACCATAATGTCTAAAGTAAGGAAATTAAAATACATACAATCAGCGTTGAGGCTATACCATAACAGTGTCACAGAAGACATCGTGCCCTTACATAAAAAAGGAAGCAAGAAGACCAGAGGAGGTGCTCAAAGTGTCCAAGGTGTATGAACAGACTGACATATTAAAGCACACTACATTACCAGTTCCGGATAGCATACATGCAAGGATAATAAAGAAATGTAAGAATTAACTGACTGAAGCCATGTCTACATGAGAAAGTTGAACTGGTTTAACTAAAGGTGTGAGTTTAAACTGATTTAGTTAAACCACTCTTATTTCAATATAAACCAGGCTTGTTTCAGTTTAGTTTAAGTCAATTAGGAATCAGTTTAAGGTTAGCTGAAATAAACGGCTCTTAAACCGAAATAAGAATGTCGGCACGGGGGGGCTTGCACTGGTTTAACTAAATGGATTTTAAAATCAATTTAACTGCTGTAAACTTTCTTGTGTAGACAAGGCCTGAGTTACTATCAAAAATATCCAGTCTCCCCAGTACTCCAGAGGATGGGAGCAAATGTGTTATCTATCTTTGGGAAAGACACTAGTAGTGAATCTGGGAATTACAGCCCCATGAACCATACTTTAGTACCAGGCAAATGTACTGAAATGCTCATTAAAAGCAGGTTTATGAGACAACTAGAACAGAGGGAATGACAGCTTATTCAAGTATCCTTCCTGGCAAGGCTGTTATTAGGTTCATCTGAGCTTAGGGGCAAAGTTACCCAGCAACCCCCAGCTGCTGTGCAGTGAATTAATATAATACTGCCAAAGAGATTGTATTTTGGCTGATTGCAGTGATGGGTCTTAGTTCCATCTGTTCTCTTCCCCAACCACCCACCTACAGCTCTGTCTGCTGCTGCTAACTAAGCCCCATTCTAGTTTTGTGGTCATATGATGAAAACAAATTAGTTTACCCCATCCGCTACAGCAGAGAGCATGCCTAAAACACAAAAACACTATGTCAAAAATTGGAAGTCATTCTGAAATCTGTAACACACACACACACACACACACACACACGTTTTAAAAAATTAGAACTGGACAGTTGTGACTTTCATTTCTGTCTTTGCACTGTCTAACAATGTCAATGCTAGCCATGCACGCAAAGGTTAGCATCATTTAGTGCTGCTGCTTCGGAGAGCCAGATTGAGACGGCTCAGCCTTTAAGGCAGCTTGCTCAGGACAGCTATTGATGAGAGTACTAGCAACCCAAACAGACTAGTCCTTGTTGACCCACTGAGGAACAAACTGGATTATCTGCTATCATTGTGCCTGGCAAACTGGATGGAGAGATAGACTAGGCTGGCTCTTTCTCAGACTGGAACTCCAAGTCCACCTAAGGGCACTGATTATTCACCACTGATACTTTCCTATCTTAACACCACAAAAGTCTCTTGGGTACAAAAGAAAGGAGCGAAATCAGTTCTCTAATCTCCTATCCCTTCTCCTACTAAAGTTTTTAACTTTTTCTTATGTTAAGGCTCATTCTCTACCACTGCCATGCTAACTTACTGCCTGTTGGCCTTTTGATGACCTTTCCTGGTCCATGTGTCTGATTAACAGCTTCAATCACTCCCCAATTTTTTTTA